TTATTTCTCCATGCTCTATGATTCAAGCATGTGGTTTCTTCAGCAATAGGGCTTACTCTCCGCTTCTGGAAGGAAACTAAGAGTATTTGTAACAATCTGAGATGTTTAGGAGTCTATGGGACCCCACTGGCCAACAACTTTGAGAGAAGTCCTTCCTGGTATTAAGATTTTAAAAATGATTTGTATTGAATGTAGTTTTTGTGAGTGTGTACACACACAACAGCATGTGTTTGTTTAGCAGTCAGGAAAGGTATCAGAAGTCTGCTCTCTCCTTCCATCAAGTGGCTCTCAGGGATCAAACAATATGAGAACTACGGTCTGGGGGAGCAAGATCATTATTGATCTAAGGTCATTACTGTTCCTTTGAAAGTAGAAAGGGGCGTCTTGGGAAGGTCCCTTGATGTTGGATTAGTCAATATGAAGCTAAACTAAATTTGGTGGGTGTATACTCACTGTTTTTTTGTAGCTGCTAACCAACCTCTTCACACATGTGTTCATGCATTATAGAATCTAGAAAACTGAAAACTAAAAACTGAAATTTTCAGATTCCCTTGCATATCAGGTTTAAGTGTGGTTTAAGTATATCCAGTAAGATAGAGTTGCATTATACTTAAATGGAGGTGTGAGTCCATATGGACAGGGAAACAGCAAAATGGATGTAACGTAACCATTTTGCTGATAAGTCTGGAGCCAGAAATTCTTGGAGTAGTTACCTAAGGACTAAAAAGAGTATAGAATAAATTGACTTCTGATCTCCAGCTTCTTGATGCCCTAAAACTATGAAGAATTTTGGTTCCTGAGAAAATCATCTTATAGAAACAAATTGAAAAAGAAATTGTTTAGTTCAGCTCTGATTTCAGAGTATTTGGTTCATCATGTAAAGAGGGGGCTAGCAGCTCACATCACAGAAGTTGTTTTCTTTCAGGATGAGTCTTTCCCTCTTAGGCAATTTTTTTCTAGAAATGTCCTCAGGTACTAGAAATTTCTCTTTAGGTACTTCTCAAGTTAATCACAATGGCAATGGACATAAACGATTAGAAACAAGTCTCTTTTCAAACAAATCACAAACTATCAAATTTCAGAAGTGACATCCTCAAAGTTTCACTTCTAACAGTGTGTAATACTTTCGGTATATCTTTGAGAGTTTCTATAACCGTTTTTCTTCTTTTTTATTTGTTTGATTTTAGATTCTATGATGTTGTTTTAGTTTGGGGGATACATTATAGATCTGTCAATTGAAACTGGGTATCCCATGGTCCGTTCTCTGTATTTTGACTAGTTGTGGCTTTCTGGAATGATCTGCTGCTGCTGCAGCACGAAGCTTCATTGTTACCTGATAAGAGCTACAGTCATCTCTGGGTGTAAGAATATGCATTTAGAACACAGTTAGGAATTATACTGGCTTACTAACGTGACAATAGCACATTGTCCTCCAAGATCCATGGCCTCACTATCCTCATGTAGATGGCTAGTTTTTACAGTGCCAGACATTATTTCTCTCTTATTAATTGGTCCTTGAGTCCAATTTTCCTGAATCTATTTTTACTGTAGTTTGGATTTTTCTTCTTACTTTCTGCAATTTTATTATCTCTACCACTTATATCTTATACAAAATTGTCTCTATCAAAGAAATTCACATTCCCTGATAGAATTGCAGTAGCACAGAGTCTCATTGGTCCTCTGAGATTCTGTTACTGTCTCATCTAGGAGAAGCTGACCGAAGAGAATCATGAAGGAACTAATGCCATGGACTGATTACTTGATTGATGGACTCATAATGAGATGACATTAATGGAAGATGGTACAAACTTTAGGGAGTAGGGCCCAGTTAGAGAAGTAGGTCATTGGGGATGTTGTTTGAATGCGTGAAATCTGTCCTTGGACCCATTTTTCACTTTCTCTGTTTCCTGGCTTCTATAAGGTAAGCAATTTTGCTCAACCACATGCTCTGTCTTTATAAATGTCTTACCAAGTCCCAAACACAATAAGCCCTTGTCATAGTCACTGTTCCATTGCTGAGAAGAGACACCATGACTAAGGTAATTCTTATTAGAAAGTATTCAATTGGGGGGTTGTTTACAGTTCAGAGATTTAGTCCATTATCAGCATGGTGAGAAGCTTGGCAGTGTACAGGCAGACATAGTCCTAGAGTACAGGCAGACAAAGCCCACCCCTAGTGACACATTTCCTCCAATACAGTCACATCTCTTCCCTCAAAGCCACTCTTCCTAATAGTGACACGCTCTTGTGGCCAAACATTCAATATATGAGCCTATATTTAACTGTTTTGTCACAAGAGAGTTATTAGGAAGTGTGGCTTGTTGGAGTAGTTATGGCACTGCTGGTGGGTTTTGAGGTTTTGGATGCTTAAGCCATGCCCAGTGTCACTCTCTTTTCCTGCTGCCTGTCAATCCAGATGTAGACCTCTCAGCTGCCTCTCCAGCACCATGTTTGCCAGCATGCTGTCATGCTCCCCAATCATGATAATGAACTAAACCTCTGAACTGTAAGCAAGCCACCACAATTGAATGCTTTCCTTTACAAGAGTTGCCATGGTCATGGTGTCTCTTCACTGTACTAGGACACTGACTAAAATAGTGTCAATATGCTCCCCGTGTTTCATGTTAAAGGCATCATCCCAGAAATTATATACTAACGGAGTTTGGGGATGGAACTTTTGGAAAAGTTTGGATTATGATTGCATTCATAACTTTATAAGATTTATCATTTTGCTTTCCTTTCTGTGATGTTGCCCATTGTGCTATGATACAGGATAAGCACAGCTATTAGATGCTGCACAGATGTTGCCACCATACTCCTGAATGTGACTAAAACAAGCAAGCATCTTTTCCTTATAATTTTGCAGTATAACATATTTTGTTATGGAAGTTGAAAATGGACAACACAAATACTACATTAGTTTTCTTGTGGCACTAATCTTACATTAGTGTTGTGCATTCTTGAAAATGTTCAAATCTGGGTTTGTAGCAGTATGGTGTAGATTTCTTGGGAATATGTACATTGCATAAAAACTATCAGGCCTTACTTGTTTACAAAATCTCTCAAATGCTATATTTAATGAGTCATAGGATGCCAGAAATGAAAGGTATCTTCACAGTCAGGCCATTGATAGTTCATAATTGATACAGAGGGAAACCAAGTCTAAGAGACCTCAACCTGTGAGGTAGTCAGAGCTGAGTTCCCACCCTATAGTTTGATCTTCTGAGCCCTCAGAGTAGTTTTGTAGTACTGGCACATATATCTAGCTTTATTTGCATATGTGCTATAACATGAATAAGGTTGTTGTTGGGAGGCAGTTTTTCATGAGTCTGTTGAATTTCTGCATTTATGAGAACTTTTTGCTCTTTGTCACCTATTCAATATTCTTGCATCTTATGTGGCATCTGTGAAACTTCAGCTAACCTGCTACTTGAAAGCAGGGAGCAAAACCTCAGATACTTCATGGCTCCTCCCAGTTGCAAGCAGTGCTTTCAGAAAGTTGTTTGTAAGTATTTAGGGGTAGTTGTGTTCTGTTTAAGTTAGTTTTAAAGATGCTTAGGCAAAGGAGGTTATGGCATTGTCAAATCCTGCAATTAAAGTAAGGGTCATTGTAAAATATTCCCAGGCATTGGGATGTTTCTAAATTTCAGTTATGGCACATGCCTTTAATCCCAGCACTCGGGAGGCAGAGGCAGAGGCAGGCAGATCTCTGTGAGTTTGAGACCAGCCTGGTCTACAAGAGCAAGTTCCAGGACAGCCTCCAAAGCCACAGAGAAACCCTGTCTCCAAAAGCCAAAAAAAAAAATCAATTATGATTTGAATAGGAAAGCTTTTCAGTTTCTCCTTTAATGTAGCATCTTCTAGTTTTGCAAAGAATGATAGAATAAAATTAGTAGATAAAAATGAAAACATAATTGAGGGGGATATCTTTCACATCCCTTATAAACACAAATGCATTAAGGTAAAACCAATGACAGTATAACCCAAAATGTCCTTTGACTGAAAGCAAAAGAATTAATGGGATTTGCCCATGGGTCAGATGCTAGAGTGAGAAAAAGCAGGACAGACAATGTGAAACACCCCATTTTACATATGACACAATCAGATATAGTAAAAGGATGTCAAGTTCATAGAGGACAATGGTAGTAAAATACGAGTGTTCTTTTTTTTTTTTTTTTGGCTTTACGAGACAGGGTTTCTCTGTATTGTTTTTGAGGCTGTTAGTCCAGCCTGGCCTCGAACTCACAGAGATCCACCTGCCTCTGCCTCCCGAGTGCTGGGATTAAAGGCGTGCGCCACCACCACCTGGCCCAATATGAGTGTTCTTAAGCACTGTGCAATATTTCTTTTTTTTTTTGGCTTATGTTCTTTTGCCTGTTTGTAACTCAATTTTAGGGTCACTGGAAGGAAATTACCACTTTTTCCCACTTATAAGGTCCTACTATATGATCGTTTGTTGACTATCTGCCATACTGAGTCTAGACACCAAGGTGTGATAACTGATTTCTCAAGCTGATTACTTAGGTTCACTGAATTTTTTAAAAAGATTTATTTATTTATTATGTATACAGTGTTCTGCCTGCATGTATGTCTGCAGGCCAGAAAAGGGCACCAGATTTCATCACAGATGGTTGTGAGCCACCATGTGGTTGCTGGGAATTGAACTCAGGACCTTTGGAAGAACAGGCAGTGCTCTTAACCACTGAGCCATCTCTCCAGCCCCAGTTATTTATTTTTGTTATACAATAAGCAGCAATGCTACTGGTATACATGCTGGAAACGTCCTTCACTTATTCAGCAAACATTTATACATATGTATAAAGTGCGTAGGTAGAGTGGGCGTGTTTAAAACACCATCCATCCACGGGTTTAAAATGAGTAGGTGTATGGAAGGCCACGCAAAACAGCGGGAAAGAATGAGCCTGAGATCTCGCGAGACTTGCTACTGTAGCAACTGTCACGAGAGCTCCCAGTTCCATCAGAGTTTCAAGTTCCACGAGAGGTTGAGTGGCGAGGTTGTGGGTTGTTCACAAGCAGCGAGTCTTTGCTCTGGCAGGTCCGAGTTCCGAACCATGCCTTCGGAGCTCAGGCTAAGGCAGGGGAGAAAGAGATTCAAGAACCGTGGGGCACGTTTGAAGATGGCAGTTGTTGATAGTGGCTACAGAGGCGAGAATCTTTCCCTCGGGATGTATCACGAAGCTTGGAGTTTTGGCCAGGGGATCAACATGGTGGCCAGCCCTCGGTTTGGCTTCTGGTCTGCCGTACGTCAGCGTCTGCAGAGAATGTGCTCCTGGAGGCTCTTGGGCCTGTTTCTGCTTTTCCTCTGGGCTCTGGTGATCCTGTGCTATCTTGCGAACTCTGGTGAGTGTTGATTCTAGGCTGGATAAGCAGTGACAGGAGCTTGGGAAATAGAGAGGCGAGGACAAGGGTAGAGCCAAGTGATCTGTGGTGTCCCGGAGGGGACTCGGAAAAAGGGGCTATCGGGTTACTATTCATTCGGCAGGACAGTGGGGCCAAAGGTATCAGTGTGAGACGGAGAGCTAGGGGATTAATGGGAGCCACGGGGGATAGTGAGGCCCGGATTGAAGGCCGCATGAAGCGGGAATGGGCTGAGGTGAGGTGAGGCAAGGGTTACAGGGGCATGTGAGGTTGGACTAGGATACTGGGGTGGGGGTTTGTGAGTGAAGGGATGGAGAGGATTAAAATGTGTGAGGTGATTGAGGGCTTGAGCCCAGTACTGAAATGTGTGAGGGAGTTTTTGAGAGGGTGAGGCAGGATTTTGGTGGGGGCGGTCAGGAGGACAGCGGGCGAGGCCAATAGTGAGGGTTGAGGCAGGATCGAGGATGTGTTGTGGGAAATGAGGGGACTGAAAACTGTACCAATGATTGACAGGTGTTTCAGTCTTCCTCATGAACTCTTCTCCTCACACACTTCTATTTATAAAATGCCTGTCCCTTTTTAGGGCTAAATGGTACTTCATTATATGGATTTTATATATGCATATATGTTTATTTATCGAGTGTACCAAATTTTGTTGTTTCTTACCAATCTGTTATGAGCATTTATGTATCAATAATTGTGTGGATATATATTTAAAAACTAAGAGTGGAATTTAAGGTCATGTAGAAGCTACATATTAAATTTTCTGAAGAAGCCATAGACAGATTTATCATGACTGAATCATAAATGTCTCCAGCAGCTGTGTTCAACATTGGCTGTTCCTCTACCTTTCTGGTGGTGGCATCCTGATCACTTTAAAGTGGTATCTTGTTTTGATTTTTACTTGTATTTCTCTAATGACTAATAATTCTGACCATCTTTGCATGTGTTTGTTAACAGTTGTTTAACTTTGGAAAAATGTTCTTTTAAAGCACTGCCCACTTTAAATGTGTTTTTAAAATTTTAATGCATTTTAAAATTTTTCGTGTTATATGTATTGGATCATTACCCCAAAATATGATTTGCAAATATTTCCTCCAGTTCTATAGACTGTCTTTTCACTCTCTTCATGATGTCCATAATGTCTTTCTTTTGTTTGAAATGGCCTTGCTAACTAGCCCAGGCCTAGTTAGCCCAAGTTATGCTGCAACTTGTCAAGATCCTTCTGCCTCTACCTCTCACATGCTGGGATTATAGGCAAGGGACACCATAATGTCCTTTGATATACAAAAGATTTAAATTCCTATAACTCCAATTTATGTTTTTTCTTTGTTCATTTGGTCCTTCAGTGTCATATCTAACTAGTCATTCCCAAATCCAAGGTCATGAATATTGTTTTTGTTTTCCTCTAAGAATTTTAAAGTTTTACCTCTCAAATTTGGATTGTTAGCGCATTTGTGTTAATTTTTATATATGGTATGTATGAGGAGCTAACTTATTTTACAGTTTGCATGCAAAAAATCAATTGTTCAAATACCTCAAAAAGTTTAAAAATGTATTTAATTTTTATTCGTGTGTGTCTGTGTATATGCACATTTGTATCAGGGTGTCTTTAGAAGCCAAAAGAGATGATCAGATCCCCTGGACCTAGAGTTAACAGACAGGTGTGAGCTTCCCAAAATGGGAACAGGGAACTGAACTCTGGTCCTCTAAAAGAGCAAAAAGTGCACTTACTACTGAGCATCTCACCAGCCCCTCCCTGCTGCTGTTAATATTATTATTATTGGGAGTGTATGTGTGTATGTGAGTCAATGGATGTTTCTGCATACAACGGTCTGCGTATGGAGGTCAGAGGACAGCTTCAGCGACTCAAGTCATTTCTTTTCTTCCTGCCTTTACACCTTATCTTCCAAGGATCAAATTCAGGTTGTCAGGCTGGCTTTGCAAGTGCTTTTCCCAGTGGCCCATCTTGCTAGCAACAGATCAGATTATTGTATTTTGGCTACCCAGTTGGCTAATGATAACAAAGGGTGTGAGGGTACAAGAAAAGTGGCATTTGGCTCTACTATTATTAATAGTATACTTTAGGATTTTACTGGAAAGTAAGAGCCCAGTGGTACAATGTGCCAGGCTCTTCGATTAATTTGGAGCATCAAAAACTTTAAAAAAATTATCAAACAAAACAAACAACAAAAATAAGAATTTATCCAAAGTATTTTGAAATATTAGCAAATGTATAGCTCTAATAATAATATTCCAAGCAGGTGATAATCATTCTAATGGTCTTTAAAATAAAAATGAAGTAAGAACAGCATTAGTAGTTTCCTTGATAATTCAGCCATGTAAAGCAATTCTGAGGTATAATTAAAGAGATTACTGAGGAATATTTTTTCTTATTTTATATGGGAGAGAATTATGCAAATGAAACTAAAATTGGGTTCTCTGTAATAAAATGAAAGAGGGATAAGAAATACTTACTGTATCCTTGTTGAGGATTTCAGCATACTTGTCAAAGACTTTATTATCTAGGTTCTGATTTAGTTGGAATACATACAATTTCTGAGTTTTCTTTTTTTGTTCCTGATTTTACCATTGATAAACCTTTAAGCACTAAGATCTTTGTTAGGCAAATTGGTTATTTAAATCATTGTCCAGAAGACCAATGGGCTCTGTGAGCCTGTATGTTAAATATTTGTTAATTTGAATACTTCAGTTTTGTAGCAGAATCACAATCTGATTATTAATGCAGTTACAAGATTAAAATGCAACATGTTATATTTCTATAATTAGTTTAATCAAAGGTTGATTACTATTAAAGCTTTATTGAAAATGACAGATATTTAAATATTTGGGGATTAATCATTTCACTTCTTTACACTTCTCAGATTCTTTTTCGCCAAGACAGAAGTTGCCAAGGTACAATGCAGCTCTACATCATGGATCCGAATGGGAATTTCTGGCCAACTTTTTCTTTCCAACAAGTAAGTTGTTGATTGATTGATTGGTTGATTTTTACTTAATGTCCTTGTTTTAAAAATAATAGTTAAGTAGTTAAGTACTCAGGAAGCAGACTGTTTTATCAACATTGGAGTGGGGCAGACCTGAGTTTGAGCCCTGACTCTGCCCTTTGCCTTAGGCAAGACAATCTCTGTGGGTATCCGTGTTTTCACCTTGCAATGAAGATACATAACCCAGGAATCATGAGGATGAACTGGGACAATAACTGCAAGGAGAATGTGGCAGATTAAGGCTTAAGTTTGTAATTTTTCAAAAAGTAGTTTTCCTTTAGAAATACTTAAAGCTTTTATAATTTACCTGAGTGGTGTGGCCTAAATTGGTCACTGACCCAGTACTGTGAAATTGATGTCTTCTGTGGCATTAAGCAGTGGCTCTGTTGTTATGGAATATAGCAGATGTTTTCCCATCTGTGTTAATGCTAAAAAGTCCAGGTTTCAAGTCACATCATCTTGTGATCTGTAGATGGTGTTTGTTTTTTTATCAAGCACATGATGACCCTTCAGAATTAACCACAAATAAACACGTTTTACTTTGTACAACATGAGATCCCCTTTCAAAGTGAAGTTTCTCATAAATTGGCATGGTAAAGAATTTTATTAAAAACTATGCAGAATTCATTCTAAGAAAATCTGATATACTTATCTAAACACTGAATTGAATCCATTGTTTAATTCCAGATTGTAGCATTACACTATTCTGTGAAAAAAATCTCTTAATGCTTCTCTAGTGATTTCATCAAGTATAAAACAGCTATTGTAATACCTGCTACCTATGAGAATAACAAAATAAATTAAAGCTACTGCCATAGTCAAGTTGAATGAACAGGAGAATAAATCTGGGAAGGTGTTATGTTAGGTAGGCTAAAAGAAGGGCTTATTGAGTACAACAAAAGGAAATGACAGCTTATGCTTTAAAGGGTTAAGAACAAACAGAAATAACTATCAAATATTTGCCTACTTGCCTAGGATGATTACAGTAGTACAAACAGTGAAGTGGCCTTTAAAATGATCCAAATGAGATTTATTTATCTTTATTTTAATTTTCCTAACCTAACACAAGAAACTAAATCAAAATCAATTGTGTAAAACGTCTTCCTCAAATCAAATTGTTTTTTCTCCCTCCAAGCCTTCCTCCCACCATTTCTTCCTTATATTTTTATTTATTTTTTTAAAGATTTATTTATTTATTTATTATGTATACAATCTTCTGTCTGCATGTGTCCCTGCATGCCAGAAGAGGGCACCAGATCTCATTACGGATAGCTGTGAGCCATCATGTGGTTTCTGGGAATTGAACTCAGGACCTCTGGAAGAGCAGCCAGTGCTCTTAACCTCTGGGCCATCTCTCCAGCCCCATTTCTTCCTTTTATTATTTTTGACAGGGACTGACATAGCCAAGGGTAAACCTCAAATTTTTTATGTAACCTTTTTTATGTAACCTTCTGTTCCTTCTGCTTACATCTCCCAGATGCTAGAATTATAGTCACATGCCACCCATCCTTGTTTTATGTGGTGCTGGGGATCCAACCAAGGGCAACAGGTACATTAGGCAAGCACTATATCAGTTAAGCCACATTGCTAGTCCTGCTCTCTTTCTTTTTTTTTCAGAAATATTAACCCTAGATTGATCTACATCTTTGAAAACAGAGGGTTAATATTTATCAACTATACATGTTATCTTTTTTGAAAACAATAATTGTGAAATACCTAATGGAAAGGATTTTGAGTGTTTACAACACAAAGAAATGATAAATGTTTAGGGTGATGCAAATACTTGTTACTCCAGAATAACCATTATGAATACACCATGCACATATATACATATATTTATATACTTATTACAAGATCATTGTGCCCCATAAATGTATACAATTATTGTGTGCCAGTTAAGGATACTCTCTGTGATTCTGAAATGCTTCTTTTACATATATAGGTTTTAAAAATTAGCTTTAAAAAAGTAGTATACAGAGGAATAGGTTCCAGTATAACATTTTCATTCTTCCTTTAGTTTGGTTGATCTTCTTTTCCAGTGTTATTCCTGTGCTCACTTGCTTTTCCTTTTCCTTCCCTCAGGAACCTCCTTTTTGCCTCATCAAAATATTCATATTTTTAACCATTTATTTTTATTATTTTTGATCATGTGTCTGTGTGTTGATGTATGCTTACATACATGTGTGTGCAAGTGGCCGGTGGAAAAAAAGGCATTGCATTACCCTGGAGTTGGAGTTATAAGCAGCTATAAGCCACTTGACATGGACATTGGGAATAGAACTCTGCTCCTCTGGAAATATAGTACATGCTTTAACCTCTGAGCCATCTCAGGCCCCCACATATATTCAATTTACTTTTTTTTTCTTCTGCCCATTCCCTTAAGATCTCTTTTTACTCCCTGTCATAAATCTCCTTTCTAGTCTCATACCCACCATATACTCACAGTTATAAAAATTAAAATATAGGATTGTATATGACAGAGGACATGTAACATTTGTTTTTTTGAGTTTGGGTTACTTTACCTAAGAGAATAATTTCTACTTCCCTCTATTTTTCTGTTAATGTCATGATTTCAGAATGGAAAAGTATCCTTAACTGCTGCTTAGTTCCCTCTGTGCTGTGTTTGTGTCACGACCATCCCCTCATTGTTCATAGTTCCTTTAAAACTATGTTATCAAGCTAGGTATTTAGTTCAATTCATAAACTGTCTGCCTTGCATGCACAAAATATTGAGTTTGAGCTCTGGCACTGAATGGAAACTGGGCTAGGTGTAATCCTAGCAGTCAGGAGGCTGAGGCAGGAGGATCTGGAGTTCCAGGTCATCTGTGGCCATGTGGAGAATTTGATATATAAGTTACATTGGGTACTGGAGATCTGGTCTCAAAAAGATATCCTATTAATTATCAATTTATGTATTTCTACAGTTTAACTGTTATTAAAAGTGTACTGTTAAATAACTGGTAATTTTAACCTTTATTTTCTCATTTTAACTTTAGCATTCATCATTTATATTTTTGAATGTACTATGTTAATTTTTTCTCTTGCTTTGTATTTATTTGCTTATGAGAAGTGCTTATTAATCAGGCTAACTATTCTTTATTGGATTCCTGTCTTTGAAAGCATGCATCATAAGGGGCAACCAGAAGGTAGTGCCTTGTAATAAGCAGCCAAATCTCAGCAAGACTGAATGTTTAAAATCCAAGTGCTGTTTTTCATCATCTGGGACCAAAGTGAAGTGCTATGCCCCACTAAGAGATAGTAAGTAGATCATGTCTCATTTATTTGCTTAAAATGCTGAAAATAACAAGTAGAAAAACATTTAAATAGATTGCAAAGTTTTAAGTACATCTTTAGATTTTCCAGCTTAAGATTACCAAGGGATTTCTAAACCAAGACCAATGGTATCAATAGAAATTGTGAGATAATTCCCTGGCAGTTTCTGTTTAGTCCTTAGATGATAACTAACCATTCAGAATTAGTCTAACCTGTTCAGTTGGTTCAGTCACTCCCATTTCTTTCAAAGCTTCTAAGCTGCTGTATTAGGTACCTCTGCCTGAGAGAAGGCACTAGAAAGGTGCAGAAAAGAGGATAGTAGTTCCTTTCTTGCTGCTCTGACACAGGTGCCTGACAGAAACAACTTGAAGAAGGCTTCATTTTACTCACTGTTTCAAAGGCTTCAGTCAATGGCTGCTTGACCCCGTGTATTTCAGCAAAACATCATGGTAGTTAGAACATGTCATGGAGGGAGAAGAGTGAGCCGTTTCATGACCAACTAGAAATTAGAGGGAGAGAATACAGGAGAAGGGATGGCATGATACACTTGTTCTACCTCTACTTTCCACTGCCTCCCAGTGCCATTAATAAACTATAAGTCAGGAAAGTGATTGAACCACTCATTAATTACAGGAAACCTTCACGATCTAATGTGTCTTGAGATTTTCTTACAGGTACATTCAGTGGTGTGCTTCACTAAATCTTTTAGGCTTTTCTGAATCTGAAATCAATTGTGAATCAGCGTTCACTATTACAGGGAGTAACCCATTCTCACTCATTGTGAAGAGTCTTAGATGACATTCCCATACCAAAAGAGACATTAACAGGGAGAAAACATCACAATTTTTTTTCATCATAGTTTTTTGTGACACTGAGGCTTTTTTTTTTTTTTGGTTTTTCGAGACAGGGTTTCTCTGTATTGTTTTGGAGGCTGTCCTGGAACTCACTTTGTAGACCAGGCTGGACTCAAACTCATAGAGATTGCCTGCCTCTGCCTCCCGAGTGCTGGGATTAAAGGCGTGCGCCACCAACGCCCGGCTGACACTGAGGCTTTTGATGGAGTCAGTGATACAAGATAACATTTAATTTAACATACTTAGGCTCCATGAAGCACAGACACATGTAGAAATAATTGGACAAAAAAGAGTGTGATTTAAATGGGAAAATTGTCTGTTCAGATTCTTAACATCCTCTCTGTATAGCATTCCTTCCTCCTAGGTATTTGAGGATCCTTTTGGAAATAGAGAACCTCTGACCCACTAAGTTAGGGGTTTCTTTTTGCTATCTCCCTCTTATCTTTTATCAATTTTGCTGTTTGCTTGCTTTTGGTTTTTGGAATGTGGTCTCCTGAAGCTCGAACCTGCCTCAAATTTGCTGTTTATTTTCCTATCTCAGAAATTCTAATGTTCAGATTACAGTCATATGCCACAGTACCCATCTGGCCAGAAAAATTCTTTATCTTTAAGATTGAAAGACAGGTGAAAATCAGAATAACAGTTTTGAGCTTATGGCTGGCTTTGAGGAAAAGAACTTCTGCTTTCTGTGACCGGCCTTGGGGTGAATAAATTAGAATTTCTCTGGCTTTTCCTCTGGAGGAGGGAATAGTAGAAGATAGGAAGCAAGGTGAAAATCAAAGAAATTTGACTTTATTTTCTTTTTTCTGAGTCTTCTGCATTCATTCCAGTCGGGTTTTGAACTTTTCTATATAGCAGGCGATGACCTTGAGTTTTCATGAGAATATAGGCATGTGCTACCACACCTATTTTATGCGGTGCTAAAGGTCTAACCTAGAGCTTCTTGCATACTAAAGCACTCCACTAACTTCTGGGCTTCTAAGGTTACATCTGAGGCCTTCCTTCCAGGGTATCATTTTCTGCTTAGTCCTAAAAACACCAGTTAGATATACCTTGGCTTATTTTTTTTTTATTCTGAGTTTCTCTCCCTGTGTCGAATTCTTCCCGTTTTTTCTTTTCTTCAAAAGTTTGGCATGTAGCAGTAGATGTAAATGTTTCCTGTTAGCTATCCTTAATAGCTTTTCTTTGTTCTGTTTCTTTTAGAATAATCCAAACCAAAATTACCCTCTTAAAATTTTCTTTCTTTCTGAAGTTAAAGAAATATCATCTGTTTTTTTCTTTTTCCTTCATTTGCAGGTAGGGACATATTATCTGTTGGTCTCATGATTAATGTATTGGATGTGATAGAGCACTAAGAAATAATAACAGGATCCATGCAGAATAATATCTTAGATTTATATATAGTCCCTATTCAATTTAGAGCTCTTTTTTGTACATCTAGTATTAATGATGAAAACTAAAGCATGATCATGAATATAGTATTGAAGTTTTAATGCTGTCATATTGTATTTAGAATTCATTCATCAGTCTACTGTTTCTATTATGTATGAAAAAACATTTGGTTCTTTTAATGGAAAAAATTGAGCCGTGACTTACAATTCCCCAATCACATTACAATGCATTTCCCAGTGCATATGAGGCAAAATTTGCTTATTCACCTGCAGATTTTTGATTCTGTGTTTAATTGAGAGCTTTGTAATTTGGGAGGAAACATTGAAGAAGCCGCTTCTTTACCAGGTTAACTGTGCATAGATTGATTTGTACTTCAGATGCATAACATATGGCCATAGAGCAAGTACACTCAGGGCCATATGAAAAGTATGTTCTGAATCATAATCTGCCAAGGAAAACAGCCTGATTATTTTGTTTAGGTATTGTTGGGGTACAGTTTGAAAGTAGCTTTTAGTTGCATTTCAAGAACTCATACCTGAAGCATAACAAGTAGATTTACCATTCACCTTACTGACAGTTTTCTGTAATTACTTTATAAAATAGTTCAGCTTTACCTCTCTTGCCTAGCCATAAAAGTAACAATACATAATTAAACCAACAGAACCTACACAGATGCTCCGGGCATTTGGGCTCTCTTTGATCAGCATGGTATTCCTGGGATTTCTTCCTATGTATTGCTGCCTTCTTTGCCGGAGGAGGTAGGCAAACATAAACCTTACTTGCTAATTGCTAACTGTATGTGGATATTTGTTTGTTGGCACTTTTATTCCATTGCTTTAAATATTTTTTGAGAAAAACCTAAAAATAAAATTACCAATATTTTCTTTTAAAGGCATGTTATTTTTTCACAAATGTGAAGTGTCCTGTTTAATAGGCTTTGTATATTTTATCACCAAACAAAATCCCAAGTGTAAGGAAAAAGAAGTCTGCAAGCTGGAGATGTGTGGAGTTGGGGTAGCTATTAAGTGCAAATGAGAGGGTTCTCTGGAAGTGGCAGGCTGCCAGGGGTCTTTGACCCTTGGTCTTAAAACACTGGTCTGTCTTTAACAGAATTTATGTTAGATTTTTCCTTAAAGACTTATACAAAAAGTATTTACACCCTATTTTAATTTCTATAAGGATTATCAAGGCTTTGTTTGTCACTTTAACAGACCTGTATGTATATGTGTGTGTGTGTGTGTGTGTGTGTGTGTGTATGTATGTACATATGTTTGTATGTGTATGTGTTTCTAGTACTGAGGATTGAATATAAGGCTTTGTGTGCGATAAGGAGGTGTTTCATTGCTAAAGGGTCTCATTGAGATGTCCACTCTGGCTTTGAACTTAGTATGCAGTTCAGGATGGCCTTGTACTTTGGATTTTCCTTCCTCAGCCTCTGTGTGCTTAGGATGATGAGTCTGTAGCACAACTTCACATTTCAACTATTCACACTCACATCCAAGTCAATTCTTTTTCTCAGATTTCATTTCACTTCAGATGTTGAGGGACAGTTATCTGTGTGTGTGTTTGTGTGTGGTATATGCTCATGTGTATGAGGGTGCATGTGCCTGTGCTTGTGAGGAGGCCAGAGGATGCTGGATATTCTGGTTCATTACTTTCTGCTTAATTCATTTGAGACAGGCTGAGGTTATAGGTGTACAAGGCCATATCTAGCTTTTTAAATGTTTCTGCTAATAACCAATTACATACACACACACACACACACACACATTTACTTGTGTGGGTGTTTTGTTTGTATGCATGTCTCTTCCATGTACATGCTTGGTGCACAAGGAGGCCAGAGGAGAGCTTCAAATCTCTTAAGACTGGAGCTATAGATGGTTGTAAGCCACCTTATGTGTGCTTGGAATCAAACTCGCATCCTTTGGAAGAGCAGCCAGTGCTCTTAACCACTGGGCCATCTTTTTAGTTCCTCATTACTTTTCACGTATATTTTTAAAAAATTTTCTTTAGAGGATTGGAAGTAGGAATGGGTTTTTTCACACTTTTTAATTATATATTTAAATTGGAAACAAGCTTGCTTCCCATGTCAGTCCCAGCTCCCTCTCCCTCCCCTCCATGCCCACTCTCCCCCGGTATCCCCAGCCTCCCACCCACTCCCCACTTCTTTCCTCAGGGAGGGTAAGGCCCTCCATGGGGGATCTCTAGAGTCTGTCATTTCATTTCGGGGAGGGCCCAGGCCCTCCCCAAAGTGTCCAAATTGAGAAAGCATCCCTCATTGTGGGATGGGTCCCCAAAGTCCGTTTGTGTGCCAGGGATAAATATTGATCTACTACCCAAAAACTCCATAGATTGCCTGAGTCTCCTCACTGACACCCACATTCACAGGGTCTGGATCAGTCCCATGCTGGCCTCTCAGCCATCAGTCTGGGGTCCAAGATCTCCCGCTTATTCAGGTCAGATGTTTCTCTGGGATTCACTAGCCCAGTCTTGACCTCTTTCCTCATCACTCCTCCCTCTCTGTCACTGGGTTCCAGGAGTTCAGTTCAGTGTTTAGCTGTGGGTGTCTGCCTCTGCTTCCGTCTGTCACTGGATGGAGGCTCTAGGATGGTTTGTTAATAGTCCTCAAAATCATTACTAGGGAGGGGCATTTAAAGTAGTCTCTCCACTACTGCTTAATTTGCCAGTTGGTGTCATCCTTGTACATCGCTGGAGTTCTCATTACTGCCAGTTCTCCCCTCAAACCTAGAATGGCTCCCTCTATTATGGTATCTCTCATTCTGCTTTGCTGTATTCTTTCCCCAACTCAACTTTCCTGCTCCCCCAGGTACTCCTCTCCCTTCCTCTTGTCTCCCTCTCCTTTTCCTGGCTCCCTTTCCCCTCCCCCACCCTGTGCTCCCAATCTGCTCAAGAGATCCTGCCTCATTCCACCTTCTCTGAGGTACCATGTATATCTCTGTTAGGTACTCCCCTGATTCATGTTTAAAATCCATATATGAGTGAGTACATACCGTGATTGTCTTTTTGTGACTGGGTTACCCCACTCAGGACAGTTTCTCCTAATGCCATCTATTTGCCTGCAAATTTCAGGATTCCATTGTTTTTTCTGCTGAATAGTATTCCATTGTGTAAATGTACCACATTTTCTATATCCACTCTTCAGTTGAGGGGCATCTAGGTTGCTTCCAGGTTCTGGCTATTACAAATAGTGCTGCTTTAAACATAGTAGAACAGATGTCCTTGTTGTATGAATGTGCATCTTTTGGATATATGCCTAAGAGTGGAATTGCTAGGTCTTGTGGTAGACTGATTCCCATTTTCCTGAGGAATCTCCATACTTATTTCCATAGTGCTGTATGAGTTTGCACTTCCACCAGCAGTGGAAGAGTGTTCCCCTTTCTCCACATCTTCTCCAGCATAAACTGTCATTGGTGTTTTAGCTTTTAGCCATTCTGACAGGAGTAAAATGGTATCTCAGATTTGTTTTAATTAGTATTTCCTTGATTGCTAGGGATGTTGAGTACTTTCTTTATATATATATATATATATATATATATATATATATATATATTTACGTTTAAATTTAGATTAGAAACAAGGTTGCTTCACAAGTCAGTTCCAGGTCCCTCTCTGTTTTCCTCCCCTCCTCCCGTGCCCTCCCCCAGTTGAGTACTTTCTTAATAGTCTCCTCTATTGAGAATTCTCTATTTAGTTCTGTAGACCAGTTTTTAATTGGATCCTTTGGTGCTTTGGAGACTTGCTTCTTGAGCCCTTTGTAGATTTTGAAGGTCAGCCCTCTGTCAGATGTGGGATTAGTGAATATCTTTTCCCATTTCGTGGGCTGCCTTTTTGTCTTGTTGACTGTGTCCTATGCCTTGCAGAAGCTTCTCAGCTTCAGCAGGTCCCATTTATTAATTGTTTATCTTAGTGTCTGTGCTACTGGTGTTATGTTCAGTAAGTAGTCTCCTGTACCAATTCATTCAAGGGTACCACCCACTTTCTCTTCTAATAGGTTCAGTGTGACTGGATTTATGCTGAGGTCTTTAATCCATTTGGACTTAAGTTTTGTGCATGGCGATAGACATGGATCTATCTGCAGTGTTCTACATGCCAGCATCCAGTTATGCCACCATCATTTGTTGAAGATGCCTTCATTTTTCGATTGTATAATTTTAGCTTCTTTGTCAAAAACGAAGTGTTCATATGTGTGTGGGTTATTATCAGGGTTTTCAATTCGATTCCATTTGTGTACATGTCTATTTGTGTGACAATACCAAAATGTTTTCAATACTATAGCTCTATAATAGGGCTTGAAGTCAGGGATGGTGATGCCTCTGGACGTTGCCTTGTTGAACAGGGTGGTTTTGGCTATCCAGAGTCTTTTGTTTTTCCATAGAAAGTTGAGAATTGTTCTTTCAAGGTCTGTGAAGAATTGTGCTGGTATTTTAATGGGGATAGCATTGAATATGTAGATTGCTTTTGGCAGGATTGCCATTTTTACTACATTGATCCTACCTATCCAAGAGCATGAGAGATCTCTCAATTTTCTGGTGTCTTCTTTAATTTCTTTCTTTGAAGACTCAAAGTTCTAGCGATATAGGTCTTTTACGTGTTTGGTTAGGGCTTCCGCTTCCCCAAGGTATTTTATATTGTTTGTGGCAATTGTAAAGGGTGATGTTTCCCTGATTTTTTTCCTCAGTCCTTTTATCATCTGTATATAGTAGGGCTATTGACTTTCTTGAGTTGATCTTGTATCTTGCCACTTTGCTGAAGGTGTTAATCAGCTGTAAGAGTTCCCTGGTAAAGTTCTTTGGGTCATTTATGTAAACTATCATATCACCTGCAAATAGTGAAAGTTTGACCTCTTACTTTCCAATTTGAATCCCCTTGATCTCCTTTTGTTGTCGTATGGCTCTGGCTAGAACTTCAAGTACAATATGGAAAAATTATGGAGAGAGTGGACAGCCTTGTCTTGTTCCTGATTTTAGAGGAATTGCATTGAGTTTCTGTCCATTTAGTTTGATGTTGGCTGTTGGTTTGCTGTATATAGCTTTTATTTAGTTTGATGTTGGCTGTTGGTTTGCTGTATATAGCTTTTATTAGGTTTAGGTATGTTCCTGTTATCCCAGATGTCTCCAAGACCTTTATCATGAAGGGGTGTTGGATTTTGTCAAAGGATTTTTCAGCATCTAGTGAGATGATCATGTGATTTTTGTTTCTCAATTTGTTTATATGGTGGATTACATTGATAGATTTACATATGTTGAACCATCCCTGCATATCTAGGATAAAACCTACTTGATCATGGTGGATGTGTTTTCTGATGTGTTCTTGGATCTGATTTGCCAGTATTTTATTGAGTAATTTTACATCAATGATCATGAGGGATATTGGTCTGAAGTTCTTTCTTAGTTGTGTCTTTGTGTGGCTTGGGTATCACGGTTATTGAAGCCTCGTAAAAAGAGTTTGGCAAAGACCCTTTTGCTTCTATTGCATGGAATACTTTGAGAAGAATTGGTACAAGCTGATCTCTGAATTTCTGGTAGAACTCTGCACTGAGGCCATCTGTCCCTGAGCTGTTTTTGGTTGGGAGACTTTTGATGACTGATTCTATTTCCATAGGGTGTTATAGGTCTATTTAAATTGCTTATCTGTTCTCGATTTAATTTTAACAGGTGATATCTATCCAGAAAGTTGTTCATTTCTTTTAAATTTTTGAATTTTATGGAGTACAGGTTTTCAAAGTATGACCTGATGA